GGAAAAAGAAATAAAAACCCCAAAGAAAGAACAAATAAAAAAGAAAGAAGATGACAACAATGACTACAGGCAGGAAAAAATACTTCAAAAAAGCACTTATAGTCTTAGATAAGGGAAGAAATCATGAGGGCTGGCAGGACCAAAGAGAAAGCTCTAAATAAAAAAATAAAATCCAGGGAACAAAGTACAATAGGAGAAATGAGAAATTTAACAGAGTTTTCATTTAAAAATTAATGAAATCTCCTCCAAAAATAAAAGACAGAAACTGTACCCTGTAGAGAAACTGTACCCTGGAGATCTAATATATAAATAATAAAACTTAGGGAAAAAAAGAGGGAAAAAGGATAAAATTCAATAAATTATTACAGAAAAATTCCAAGAAGAGAAGACTATGAGTTGCTCTTTTGAAAGGACCTACAATGTGGCCAGCACCCTGCCACAGTGGTTAAGGAGCTAGGTTCCACACAGACAACTATGGTTAGAGAACCAGCTTCGGTGGCTTTAAAAACACGCTGGGTGCATTTTTGTCCATGCCTCAAGTCCTGAACGGATAGAGAGGAATGAGAAGGGACTGCAGAGCAATCATGCCTCAATGCAGGTGTGAGGGCACATGCTCTCTGGTTAAAGAAAGGAGGGGGGAGACCAGCAGATGGCATAATGGTTATATCACTGGACTCCCACATAGTCAGATGCAGTTCAAGTCCTGGACCCGGCAGCTTAAAACTCTTGCTGGGTGCATGTACATGCATGCCCAAGATCCTGAGAGGAGAATTGAGAAGCATGGCCATCCCGCCTAGGGAGTGATTTCTCGCTTTGTGTCTTTGTCTCTCCAGTGAGTATACATGCCCAATAGCAAAAGAAAAGGAAAAAAAAAAGAAAAAGGAGAGGGAGGGAGAAGAGGGAAAGGGAATGGGAGGAGAAAAAAAGGAAGGGAAGGAAGAAAGAAAGAAAAGAAAGAATAACCTATGACATGTAATTCTAGTAATAAAGCAAGAGAACACTGTTTTCAAAATTCTGATGGAAAATTATTTCCAACATAGAACTATATACCTAGTTTAACTATACATTAGGAGGGTAGAATGTAAGCATGTGCAGATATCAAAGTCTCAAAAAAAAAAAGTTATCTCCCAATGACCTTTCCTAAAAAAGACACAGAGTATATACCAAGGAAGAATATACGGTTTTACTGAAATAAAGAAGAAAGGCCACAGGAATACCAAAGATAAAGAAAAAGGGAGATCCCAGGATAGAAGTTATCTATACTCCAGGTCTGCTGAGATCTGTTATTAAAATACAGCTGCCCTTATTCTCAATGTGAGAAAATTCATAATCTGGGCTTGGTTTTTCTTTTTTTCTTTTTTTCTTTTTTTTTTTTTTTTTTCCGC